GCACTTTTTAAAATTATTTACGACTTGCAAGTTATAGCTATAGTTACTTTGAATTTACATTCAAAATATTATCTTATAATTGTGCAACATTTATAATTTAAAGGTCGCCTATAATGCAAAATTCACTTTTTCATGTATATTATACATGTATATGTGTCCCCTCAGGAAAAGAGACTCTCTCTTTTTGTCCTGACCCATTTATATTTTAAAAAAATTAGCTGTTCAGATTTGGCCACTTTTTGATGTCACAATTGTTAGCCAATAACCAACCATGGTATCAAATGTCGTTTGTTAGACGCTTTCTTCCAAAGCAATTTAAAAGTGAAGTGTCTTGGCCAGGTACTCAACAACATGTTGACTGCAGTGGGACTGGAACCTGTTCCCCCCTGATCCGAAGATCAGGGCACCATCCCACTGAGACACAGCCCACCTTATCACCTGAATCTCCTCCTAGAGCACCAAATATCTCGCAGATGGGCGTGGAGGTGGCAGCTCAATTGCACTTAGAGCTACAGACACAGAATGAGCAGCTTTTGAAACAGGGCTGAAACAGAGGGGATTATGTGATGCTACAATTCATGATCTGTTTGGTATTTTGAGCCAAACACTTCAGAGACATGTTTTGTTAATATCTGAGACCTATAATATATTTAGACCCTCCAGAAAAACGCGATTCTGCGATCGCAGAATTTACCGCATAATCAGCAAAATGGAGCAGATTTTTAAAAGGCCGCATATTTATCAAAAGGCCGCATAATCCCCGCATTTTTCCACACAAGGTTGAGGGGAAAAAAAGTTAACTCGTCTTGACGTGAAGTAGTGATGATGATGACGTGACGTCATCAGCTCGCGCATCACAGAAGGTAAACAACACCGTAGAGCAGGGGTGTCAAACTCAAGGCCCGGGGGCCAAATTTGGCCCGCGACCTAATTTTNGTGTGTGTTGTGTGCCCTGGTGTGTGATGTGTGTGTGTGTGTGTGTGTGTGTGTGTGTGTGTGGGTGTGTGTGTGTGTTGTGTGTTGTGTTGTGTGTGTGGTTGTAGGCTGCTGGTATCTACAGAAGCCTCGACAGTTCGGAGGAGTCGTCCTCTCGAGAGCGAGGGAGAGGACCGATTGATGAAGGTGCGGCAGCGCTCACTGAATCTTGGGCCATGGCAGGAGAGATATGGACAGACGGCGGGGTGGGGGGGGCCATGGCGCCCCCAAACTCTTGGGGGTCACAACAGCCACTAGTGGGGGTCTCGCCACGACCAATGACACGTACCAAACTGCATCTTTTCTTTTAGTTTAGTCGCATCCCTGAGTGCAGAGGAGGCAAGCACCAGACACAGGGATTACTGAGTCAGCATATTACACAACCCTGCTCTCTAAAAAGTGCATGCACACGTCACACTGACATGCAATCACATGGGAATAAGTCAAAGTGTTATGGAGTCATGCTGTCGATGGCGGCTAGGATTGAAAGGCCATCTTTCTGCATGTGTTGGGCTTCTTTACTGCAGATCACTCAGTATCTCACTTGCTGAGCATTTTTCCAAAGCATGTAGCATTTGAAAAGCGTTCTAGATTTCCATTGATATCCATTTACTAGCTCTGCTGACATAAACTCCTAGGTGTTGATCCATCATAGGAACGCTGTCAGAGTGCAGCGCTGCAACTGCCCTTTGTTTTCTTCATTGCTGAATATTCTTCTTCGTTATTTGAGCAGTATAGGGTTTGTATAATAAATGGTGGACGAATGTCTCTCCTTCCACGATCAAGGTGACGGAACTTATTAAATATAGTTGTATGATAAAGAAAACACACTGCAGGAGAACAGGGACTGAACTATGGAAATATTTGCTGATTTCTTTTCTCTACTGTTAAATTCATTAAGAAATCTATGGTAAGAGGCTCATTGGCCACTTCCTAAACATAAGAATTGATTTGGAGCCTGAGGTTTTTTTTTTTCAGAATTCTGAGATAAGTCTCATTAAAATGTTTTTTTTTACTTTGGCCAAATCAGATGAAAGTTAAATTCTGAGATTTACATTTAGAAATCATGAGCAAAAAACTCATTTGAGAATTTTTTAACAATTCCATTTTTTTGTACTTTTTGGTCACATCCCCAAAAGAGTGTTCTCATGTGGCTCCTATTCCTCTTCTGCAGCGAATCAGTTCAGCTCATTGACCATTTTCTTTCTAATTTATTTATTTATCATTTAGTAAGATATGTAGGGTTGATGTTTTAGACATTTTCTTAATTAAATGGGTGTATTATTCCAGAACATTAACAAACATATTTGCTTCACAATTGTATATGTATATTGTAATCACCCGGCCCAATGTTAACTTCCAGTAGTTAAAGAACAACAAAGGCCTTCAACAGAAGGTGATGGTGTTCTGCCACCGAAAGCCTTTGGAAAATGGTGGCAGTTCTTTAAACAATATTTCATGCCAAAGTAAACTGAAATAGTAAAAAAAGGAAAACCACTATTGAACATACTTGTGTATGTGTGAAGGTGATGTTTGGACTATTGAAAAATGTCCTGTACAGCTGATATTGTGCTGACTCAGCTTTAAGCATGGGCAGCCACTGTAACCCTTTAACTCATTTGAACTCCAGTGCAACACAATGCCACATGCTTGTCACAAAGTTTCATACTGCCTACTTAACAGAATTCTCTGTAATTCTTTGGGAAATGTTCCTCGCAGGAAGTGTTTGTATTTGTCCGTGAAGAAGCTGAAAAACGTATAAAAGCTCTGATGATGGATTGATGCAGAGGTTAGAAACAGGAAGCTCTGGCCCAGCTGCAGGGGACACTTCCTGTCTGAGCGGAGGTCTCGTGTGTTTTCCTTTCCACAGCACATGTATTCACATGTGTGGTTTCATTCATATATGCCGTCCTAACAGCATAATCATCACTATTATTTTTGAGCTTCAGCACTGTTTGCTGTTTCTGATTGGAAGATGGAACTTGTTCCGATTGTTAAAAGAACACTTGCCCACAAACTGGGTAATGCACATATTTATCGCGTTGGCTTTAGCACCATTCACTGTTAACCTCTTCACGATCACTTCAATGATTTAACACAACACTGGGGTTTTCATTCTTCCAACCGAGCCCCACCCCTGACTTGCTTAGAATGCTGTTACAGTAATTGAAATAATATATAGACATAAAACAAGTTCAAATAATTCCCAACAATTGCATCAAGGTCAATCAGGAATTTCATTACAATCCTTAAAAGGTTTTTAAAGTGCCTCAGCACCTCTCCATTATTAAAAGCATATAATAGTTTAATTTCAAAGCTTAGAATTTCAGACTGGCCAATCAGCATTTAGTTTAGTATATGTGGGGGGGATGTTTTTTTTATTGAAAACTTTTTAAAAACTACAATATCATCATTATGAACCTTGACATGGAGCATAGTAGTTTAAAGTGAGATTATGGAGCTGAGATACAACAGGCAATTGAAAATATCCATATCAATAGTTCCAAATCTGATATTTGTCTTATATATTGTAAAAAAGTAAAAGATTGTCTTTTGTTTAAGGGCTGCGTAACAGTGAAGTGTTGTTTCATTGGTTATCACTTAGTCTAATATTTCCTCTTGGACTGATGATTATTCATCAGAAGTCTCCAACAGTGCTGACCAAATGAAAACATAAGAATAAGTGACTCATCACCCAGTCCTATTGTTGGCTGTTCTGAATGAAAATCTGATTGAAGCAATACATCCCTGGCCTGTGGTTGGGAGATGACTTTGATCTGGCCTAACTTCATGTAACCTGGATCACTCAAACCGACAATCGAGGACTTCCAGTTGTGTCAAATGTAAACTGAAATCACGTGGGTTGCTTTTATGCAGACGCTCGATCATCCGTTTTTTGTGATGACTGGATTCAATGAGACCTCCACCGAGTTATTGTATTTCTTTTACATTTATACATTTTCTCTGGTTTCATTTGCTTGATTGTTTGGAGATAAATCCACTGGACAATCTTAGAACTATGACCATGTTGCGGTCTGAAAATGTGTTGTTTTTAGAGCTCTAGACATATACTCAACCGTCCTGAGTTGAGAATACATCGTTCATTTGTACTGGACAAATAATGAGTTCTTTTTCCAAAGCAGCCATAAAGTCCCCTTTTAGATTCCAGCTCCTCCATGTTCACTCTGAGCTCCTCCATGGTCCACTGAGTCCTCTATGGTCACTCTGAGCTCCATGGTCACCTCTGAAGCTCCTCTATGGTCACATCTGATCCCTCCATGGTCACTCTGAGCTCCTCTATGGTCACTGGAGCTTCCTCTATGGTCCACTCTGGCTCACAATGCGTCACTCTGAGCTCCTCTATGGTCACTCTGAGTCCTCTGAGCTCCTCTATGGTCACTGGAGCTCCTCTATGGTCACCTCTGAGCTCCTCCATGGTCACTCTGAAGCTCCTCTATGTCACTGAGCTCCTCTTACTGGTCACTCTGAGCTCCTCTATGGTCACTCTGAGCTCCTCTGAGACTCCCTCTATGGGTCACTGAGCTCGGGTATGGTCACTCTGAGCTCCTTCCATGGTCACTCTGAGCTCCATCTATGGTCACTCTGAGCTCCTCTATGGTTCACTGAGTCCTCTATGTCACTCTATGGTCCACTGAGCTTCCTCTTTATGAGTTCACTGAGCTCCTCTATGGTCACTCTGAGCTCCTCTGAGTCCTCTATGGTCACTGAGCTCCTCTATGGTCACTCTGGGCTCCCTCCATGGTCACTCTGAGCTCCATGGTCACTCTGAGCTCCTCTATGGGTCACTCTGAGCTCCTCTATGAGGTCACTCTGAGCTCCTGGTCACTCCATGGTCACTCTGAGCTCCTCTATGGTCACTCTGAGGCTCCTCTATGGTCACTCTGAGCTCCTCCATCGGTCCTGAGCCCTCCATGGTCACTCTGAGCTTTCCTCTTCATGGGTCACTCCTGAAGGGGGGGGGGGGGCACTTCCCTCCCATGGTCACTGAGCTCCTCTATGGTCACCTCTGAGCTCCTCCATGGTCACTGAGCTCCTCTATTGGTCACTCTGAGCTCCTCCATGGGTCACTCTGAGCTCCTCCTATGGTCACTGAGCTCCTCTATGGTCACTCTGAGCTCCTCTGAGGCTCCTCTATTTGTCACTGAGCTCCTCTATGGTCACTCTGAGCTCCTCCATGGTCACTCTGAAGCTCCTCTATGGTCACTCTGAGCTCCTCTCTATGTTCACTCTGAGCTCAATGGTCACTCCATGGTCCACTCGAGCTCCTCTATGGTCACTCTGAGGCTCCTCTATGGTCACTCTGAGGCTCCTCCATTGGTCACTGAGCTCCTCCATGGTCACTCTGAGCTCCTCTATGGTCTACCTCTGAGCTCCTCCATGGTCACTGAGCTCCTCTATGTCACTCTGGAGCTCCTCCATGGTCACTCAGAGCTCACCTGAAGCTGAAGAGCTCTGCATTGCAGACTCGTGTTCCATGATGTTTATTATAATGTCAGACTGGCAGGCTCCATCTTCATCTTCATCGTGGTCCTGGTTCAGATATTGTGACAGTATGAGTTCCACCCTGCCGCTCGCTCCTCTATCTTAACACATTGTTTACATATGTACATTGTTCTTGTAATGGTGATGCACCTTCTGTATATACTTTGACATAATGAGAGATTTATTGTGAAATAAAGTCTTAATCTGTCATTCAGCTGGCTCACATGGTGTGGTATATATAGGGTTGGTGAGGGTTACCTGTAAAAAACTTGTCATCAGTAACCTATCTGACTTATCAGAATATAAAAGTGATGTACCCTGATTACCGTAATTTTCGTGACTATAAAACCCGCGCCTTTTCCCCTATTTTTCGACGGTGCGGTTTATATAACGGTGCGGCTAATCTATGGATTTTTAACAGCTAACGGCCACCACCTTTAACTCTATGGCAGGGGGTGTCAAACTCAAGGCCCGGGGGCCAAATTTGGCCCGCGACCTAATTTTATGTGGCCCGCAAGAGCTTGCAAAGAATATAATATACAATACAATTGGTGTAATTGGTGAATATTTACTTTCAATTATTTGCCATAGACTTCTGCTTTCAGACATAGTTATTTTGGAAGATATTACCAGAACTGATAATAATCCAATGCAGGGCCAACAATGTAATATAATACATTATTTAATATATATTATATATTTACATATGTATATTTATATATA